ACGTTTTCCCCGTGTTTATCATTATATGTTTTTTCTTCCCTCATGTATATAGCCTTTTGTTTAAAATCTTTTCGATTGTGGATCTGTTTTATTTTCCTTTTCTTTTCTTTTCCTTGTGTCTCCTTTCCCCTCTCTTTTCTCTTCCACATCTGTGTCTGATGCCTGTCTTGTGCACAGAGGTTGCTCAGCTAATTGGTTTGTTGGCAGGCGGGAAACGTTTGAGTTTGACGATGACTGTGACAGTCTGGCATGGGAGGAGACGGAGGAGACGCTTTTGCTCTGGGAGGATTTCAGTAACTACAAAAGTCTGAACCTCAGCACCACCGCTGCAGGCTCAGTCGCCACAGCATCCTGCGCGTCTGACTCTCATGGAGAGACACACGAGCAGGTCTGTCACCAAGTCACCACTCTCTAATAAGCAACCCAGTTTGGATAAATGTGCCAGATGTATAAAATGGAAAGAAAAACATATTGTCTACAAATGGCACCTACCTTCTGAGAAAGCATTTTTAAACTGAATACAGTAGGCAAAAAAGCTGTTAATGCTCACTCACAAGCACCACACAAAATACAGTTTGATTGAAATATGTTGCTAAGCTAGTAACAATGCAATACTTCATCACACACAAATATTGAATAAAATACTACTGTTAATTAATTAGCTTAATTAGATGAGTAAAACTATTTTCTATTGATATTTTTTGGTACTTGTATTTTTAAATATTCATTTACAAATAAATGTAGGCATATTATAAACATACATGTAATGTACATTTCAATGTATTCTATATGCATTTATAAGTATTTAAAATGCTTAAAAATACTTTTTTTTAAATCCATTGACTGCCATTCTGGACAAAAATTTTCACTGAGCTTGACACAATCTATTTTAGGATGTCTTGATGCTACCTCAAACAAGATGCACAAGCGTTCAAAAGTTTGTGGTCAGTGTGAAATTTAAAAAAAAAAAATAATGCTTTTATTCAGCAAGGATGCATTAAATTGATCAAAAGTGGCAGTAAAGGCATTCATAATGTTAAAAAAAAAGATTTTATACTTTTATTTCCTCTCAGTTGCTTTTAACATGAGAAATGTCAAGAAACTAAAGACTGGAGTATAAAGGCATTTATAATTTTTTGAATGTTACAAAAGATTTCTAAATGCTGTTCTTTTAAACGTCCTGAAATGTATCACCGTTTTCACAAAAATATTAAGCTTTCAACACTGATAATAAGAAATGTTTCTTGAGCACCAAATCACTTTTGAACAGTGGTGTATCTTACTATTGACTATTACTGGCAATAAAACTGAGAATATGCAATCATACATAATGCATTCTGCATTTATATATTATCCTGCCAGGATCGAAGTCTAGGAAGCCTCATAAATGAAACCGAGTCCCTCTTTAAGACCAGAGAGCAGGAGTACCAGGACACCATCGGACAGATTGAGGTGAGAGAGGACGTCATGTTTGTGAATGGCATGTTTCAGCCGATATTTGCTTTAGTTCGTTTGTGGATAAACGCCATCTTCCTGCCTCAGCTGGAATTGGCCACAGCCAAGAATGACATGAACAGACACCTGCATGAGTACATGGAAATGTGCAGTATGAAGAGAGGGCTGGACGTACAGATGGAGACCTGCCGGAGGCTCATCCAAAGCACAGCCACCACCGGCAGGTTGGTTTAACCGTGCTTTATTTTCAAAGTTAAACAGACTGTCTGTATGATCTGCAAATATCAAGTATGACACTACACAGAGGATTTTAATGATTTGTGTTCATTTTTCCTTGCAGACAATCGCCCTCCCTCAGCTCCGTGGCCAGCAGTGATTCGGGAAACACAGATGACATCCAGGACGAGCTGGACCCTGATGGAGAGAAAGAAGGAGCTGTAGCGATGAATGGAGAAGTTAGATGATGATCAGCCCTTCATCATTCTGGTTTCTCAGCTTCTTTGTGGACCAGTCGCTCTTTTAAGTGTCTGGTCACTTTTTCTTACACTGTACAGATGAGTGTGGAATTTCAGATTCCCAAAGAGCAAGTATTGGTGCTTTATATGCTGTTTTAGAGCAGGACTAGCCGAAATAAAATGGTTCCCTCTTCATCAGCACTGCCAAGGCATGGCTCCGTCGTCTTCCTCACAAGCTTTAACTGAGGTCACAATCTTTGTAGTATGATGAGTATCATATATAATAATGCGTATTAAAATATATCAAATATATGATATAATATTTTATCATAATAATATATTATCAGTATAATATAAAAATGATGGTATTATAATAACATATTAAATAGAAATAATATTTCTTAAATAGACGATTTCTGCTATTGCTCATTTGTTTACATAAATCTGAAAGGCAAGTTACACAACCACAGTCAGTTTAAATAACAGATTAAAACACATTATAGAGGAAAGTATTACTCTACATCGAGCTCTGGAATAAGTTCAGGCTTTTAACGTCACAATAGTCAATAGATCAGTCATGCAGTATGCTTCACAAAAAAATCTCTGCTCCAAGTCAGTTCAGATGTTTTCACCGCGTACAAATGTTGCTGAACTAAACCACTGTGCACTAAGATCTATGCAATAATCTGGACTGACGTTACTTTCTGTGATTCTCTTAGCTGGAAACAGATTCGGTATGTGAGAGTTGGTTCTCCTTAAGTGCAGTTTTTCCCTTGTTTCTTTGTATTGGCTCTTTCAGTGTCAGAGAGTAGCAGTAAAACCCAAACTCATGTGCCTACAAATATGCTGTATACAGTGTCTTAGTTGCCTTGTATTTTTCTCTGAATATTTCCAGTACATGCTTTTGCTCTGTTATACACCATTTAATCCTAAATCATATCCTTCGTACAGATGATGACAAAATTTATGTCAAAGATGTCAAATGGTGTGAAATAAGGTTTTGGATGATCTCAAGATTCAGAAGCCATACATATATCTGTCCTCAGGTGTTGGAAGGTTTGGTTAAGCAAAATAGCAAAAATGTAAAAATAAAGAAAATTTTGCTATTACTTTTAGTTCAGTATGTGGGTCATTCTCAGGAAAAGAGGCTATTTGTGCTAAATTAAGACTTTTAATTTCTAAAAAAAAATTAATACATAGTTTTAAAGTTACAATACCAAATATCAAAGTACATATACTAACCCTAAAGAGTTATGTTACTTCAACCACAATAAAAAATAAAATTGATGTGCTTATAATAGAGAACTGAGTAGATTCTGAAGATTTAGTATCACTCAGTTTAATTGTGTCTTGAAATATATTTATAAAATAAAAAATAACTAATGTTTTGTCAGAAAGAAAAAAATGTCACATGGTAGTGCAAATTCTACATTTCTCAGAAATTTGAAAGCATGATATGTACATTTCAATAAAATACAAATTTAGATTAAAAAAATGTTTTTTTTTTTAATTCTAAGTGTAATAGTGATGAATGGGGACTAAAAAATGTCCAGACATTTCAAATTAAAATGGTTTCATTTTAAAATATACTATATATTTTGCATTACAAACAGTCAAATGGATTGATTGATGTGACTGAAGAGGCACACTTTGTCATCACTTCCTAAGAATGACCTACAATGTCACCCTCACAAACACCCAAAATATGGTTTTGGCTTATTATTCAAGAGTTGGTCAGAAAAATAGAAATGATTATTCATTATTTATTTATTTTATTCTACATGTGTAATTCAATTTTGAAACAAAATGGATGTTCATGTTATCATATTTTCATGTTATCATATTTTGTTCAATATATTTTTGTTACCTTTGTTTTTCAATCAATCAACATGTATTGATAGCTGAAAACAGTATCTGGGTGATGGTGGTTTGCTATTATTGCTGCTTTTTTAATTAATGGTAATGAATCATTCCATATTTTATTATCCTCTATATGGTCATTCAGATGTTATATGTTGATACACTTTATGATTTAGTATTTCTTGCCTTAAATGTGGGTCATTTCTAATAAAATGTATTAGTTTGTGCTGTATACTAAAGAAATCAGCTGACTGATCTTGTGCTGAAATCAGCATGTCTGAGAATGTCTGGAAATGAGTGTTTGTTTTTGGAAATCTGGAGGACTATGCAAGTCTTATGTAATTGTAGTCTGATTTTATGCTGGTTTTAAATAAAAAAATGTTTGCCTTATCACGGTTTCATATTTTTCATACAAAATATGCTTTTTTAAAGGTTTGATTCAACTTTGCTGCATGCAATGTTTATTACATCATAATTCATGACAATGAATGTTTTGACTTCCCAACAGATTTCACATGGAAATTTTGGTTTTGCATGATTAAGCAATTCTCACTTATTTTGCATGAATTTGCCTGTTGCTTGGGCACTGAGGTAGTGTTCAACATAACTCTAGAAGAAAAATGAAAACTTTGGTTATATTGTATAGGTCGAAGTTCTGGGAAAAAGCTGTTGAGACAGGCAAATCCATTCCCAGTGGTTTAGTTGGTGGTACATAAGTCACGTTTTTTGAGGAATACGGCTTTGTTTTGCAGATGAAGGCCATCATTACAGTGTCACATACCCATAACAGCATAAAAGCAGCATAAATGCTCGTTTCTTCTGTTAGACAGCATATAATATCTAGCAGCATTCCAAGAGCGTTACTTTGTTACACCAATAGGATGCGATAAGCGAGCTGCTAAAGTGCCCCAAATCTTGGCTTAATGGCTCGAAAATGAGCATGAATGTGTAACAGCACTATTGCTGATAATGCTTAAATATCCAATGAAGAGATTAAAAAATAGTTACCATATACAAACCCCAGCATCACATTTGCCTACCTGTGCTCTTACTTACAATTACAGTAGTCATCCAAACACTTTGGTAACAAATTTCAGGCAAATGCATCTCTCCGTGGTAATTACAGGTAGCATGCAAATCCTTGCCACCTACAGAGTATGGAGAAACAGTGGGCTGGTGTGAAGAGTTTAAAAGCTCATATGTTTCTGAGTAGCTCATAACAGAGGCAGCATGGGTAAGATGTTGGTCTGTTTTGTGTTTCTCTGTCTGTTGAGCTATGGTGACTGTGGAGGTCTCCACCTTCAAGGAGATTATATCATCTCTGGCTGGTTCCCTCTCCATAATTCAGATTCCACCATCCCATCGACACCTTACCTGACTGACTGCACACAGTAAGAATGAGCCGATTATAAAAAGTCATTTTATTGTACTTTGCATATTCCATTTGTCTATGATCATGTCAGTGTTTTCTACAGGTATGTATTTATTTTCTTTTGATCAGTGAAAACATGTATGGGGTCTTCCAAACAAAAAACAACAAAGATTTATTTTTATTTACCATACTTTGCAGAATGTAAACACTTCTTGTCTTCAATTCTATTTCCAGAGGCTTGACCAATAAGCATGGTTATCATCTGGTGCAGGCCTTCAGATATGCCATGGACGAAATTAACAACGGCACCCAGAATAAGCAGCTACTTCCAGGGGTCACGCTGGGCTACCGGACATATGATTTATGCTCCCTCCCAGCCAGCAATCTGGCCACCTTGGATCTGCTGGCACAACAGGACGACAGTTCAGCTGTAGACAGCCGTACTGTGGCCATCATCGGTCCTGACAGCAGTTCCTACTCTTTCACACCATCCGCTGCTCTTGGTGCATTCCTGGTCCCTCAGGTATGGCATAATCATAACAGGATTCACACTAGATTATCATCATCAGGTTATCGTCTAAATAATAAATTAATTTGTTAATACCAGTTATATCAAACCAGGCTTTAAAAATGTACAAATTTTTTTTTTAAATGTATATATTTTAATTCATTTATTATATATATATATATAGAGAGAGAGAGAGAGAGAGAGAGAGAGAGATAGATAGAGAGAGAGAGAGAGAGAGAATGAATGAATGAATGAATGAATTAAATATTTATTAATTTATTTTCTATCTATCTATCTATTGTTTCCCTATCAGACTTAATGTATACATACATATATATATATATATGTATCATACATATATATATATAGCCTATATATGTTTCTCTATTCCATTTTAATTGTACTTTTTTTTCTCCGGTATTTGTAGATCTCCTACGAGGCATCAAATGAATTGCTGAGCAACAAGATCCTCTATCCAGCTTTCTTCCGCACCATTCCCAGTGACAAAAACCAAGTCAGCGCAATGATACAAATTCTCGTCAGATTTAACTGGACCTGGATCGCTCTTCTCGGTAGTGACAATCCATATGGTATACAAGGAATGCAAGGCCTATCCCAGCAAGCTTCACTTTACAATTTATGTATTGCATATCAAGCCGAGATACCCGCTGTAACTAACAAGACGAAGCAATACATGCAAGACATGGTCAAAAACATCCTCAAAACCAAAGTCAACACTAGAGTTGTCTTTGCCAATAAGAGGCGGGCCGCTGGCTTCTTTCCTTTTGTTATCGACCAAAACGTGACAGGAAAAGTGTGGATTGGGACAGAGGATTGGTCGGTGGCGTCAACAGTGAGTAGTATCCCAGGGATCAGTACGATAGGGACTGTCCTCGGTGTCGCAGTCCAATATACTGAATTTAGTGGTTTTGACGATTTTGAAAGGCTTTCTGTGCCCAGGCTGAAAGACACTGGTTTAAAAAGTCCATTCAACCACAGTGTCCCTTGTATGCAAAATACAAACCTTTATGAAATAGCGATTCAAGGCTTTTCTATGTCACAGTATGACATTGTTTCCTCCTTTAACGTGTATAAGGCCGTGTACGCGGTGGCTCATGCGCTGCACAACATCCTGCAATGTGACTCTGGACTGTGTCAGAAATATAAGGTGCAGCCATGGGAGGTGAGTGCTTTCAGAGAAAAATCACTGAAAAATGATAGCACATTTGCAATGTGTATTGTGAATTATTAAGGAAATTACTTTCTTTGAATCCCACAGGTATTTCATCAGCTGAAACGAGTTCGGTTTTCAATTCGAAATACATCATTTTATTTTGATAAGAATGGAGACCCTCCTACAGGTTATGATATAGTGACGTGGGTATGGACAGACGGCCAGTGGTCATTTAAGGTGGTGGGAAATTACAGTCCAGTTCCAACTGAACTTCAGTTAGACACCTCTCAGATTAAATGGACAGGTCAAGTGTCTCCTGTAACCAAGGTAATTTTCTTCTTCCTTATATGCATTTTCTTATATTTTCCTTAAGCGCTATTTACTGGCCCTGTATGACTTACTACTTACACCGTTCAAAAGTCTTGGGTCAGTACGTTTTTCTTTTTAATTTTGAAAGAAAGAAATTAATAGATTTATTCAGCAAGGATGCTTTAAATAAGAGGAGCCAAACAAGGGCCCGTCACCTTGGCAAAATTGGACCCACCATTCCATATCATAAGAGTGGGGGAAAATGGGAAAAAAAAACTTTCTAATTTATCTTAAAAACATAAATAAATAAAATAAGACTGGCTCATAAAAATTCAGCTTTGTATCACAGAAGTAAATTATATTTTAAAATATATTAAAATAGAAAATGGTTATTTTAAATTATAATATTTCAAAATATTACAGTTTTACTGTATTTTTGATCAAATAACTGCACCCTTGGTTAGCACTTGGAGAGACTTTTCAAAAAACATTACAAATATTACTGACGCCAAACTTTTGAAGTGTACGTGCTTCCAAATAACTTTCCATCTGCATCAGCATTCTACACAATAAAATAAAAAATAAATGCATAATAAAATAATAATAATTGTGATAAAAATGTAATGAATGTATTAAAGAAGGGAAAATAATTTAAATAAGGTGCCAGAAATGGTAATAATAATAATAATAATAATACATGTGTATCATAAATATTTGTGCTCTGTCCAGGTTCCTGAGTCACTGTGTTCTCCAGAGTGTCCTTACGGACACAGAAAGCTCATGACCGGACAGCATAAGTGTTGCTTTGACTGCATGGCATGCCCTGCTGCCACTTTCCTCAACAAAACAGGTTCAATAACACTCCAAATATCATATAATTAAAAAGTGCAAGTGCACAAGGTTGTTCAATGGGGGAAACACATAGGATGTTGTTCACAGTATATCCAACAGATGGCACACTTTCTTCAGCTGTAACTCCCATTTTCTCTTTTAATTTCCTTGCTGTTTGTTATTTTTTTCTGTTGACTTACTTTTCAATGCACATAGACAACTACAAATAAGCCATTTGTAAACTGGGGTCTGTTTCATAAAATAAGTTTACCAAACAAGCCAGGCTTATTTCAATTATTCTGACTTATTTTGAACCAAATCAACTGACAATAAATCAGACTAACTGAAATAAACCTGGCTTATTTGGTAAACCTTTTGTATGAAACAGGCCCCTGGTTTACTCAAAGAGTGTAAACACTGAGGCCCTGAGATGGTTGCAAAACATTGCTTTGTTTGTTGACTTGGAAAAAGTTAAACAATATACATCCATTTCATATTATTAGGAGCACTAAAATCTATTACTGATAAATCATCTACTGTAATGTAATGAGATATTTGCAATTTATATGTTTCTTGTCAGAATACACAGTTTAGTTACTAGCAGGTGCTAGCCATGCTAACCCGCCAGTCAAACACTGCACCTTTAAACTCTGTAATGTAGCCTCATTATGAAACACTTTAAACTACGTCTTATTTCATATGTTCTCATAGGTTACACTTTCTGCCAAGTGTGTGCCAGAGACTACTGGTCTGAAGCAGAGAGTGAGACGTGTAAGAAGAGAGCCGAGCTGTACCTGCCGTGGGGCGCTCCGCTCACTACAGCCCTGCTCATATACCTGGGTGTGACCCTGTTTCTCACCCTTGGCACGGCTGTCATCTTCCTATTCAACCTCAGTACCCCTGTTGTGAAGTCGGCCGGAGGGAAGACATGTCTGCTAATGCTGGCGTCTCTGACTGTGGCCTCCTGCAGCACCCTGTGCCACTTCAACAGACCCTCCCACATCGGCTGCCTCCTCAAACAGCCCCTCTTCATTATCAGCTTCACTGTGTGCCTGGCGTGTGTGACTGTGCGCTCTTTTCAGGTATATGGGGCTCTCTTTATTTCACTGTTGTAGATGTGTTCAGGGCAGGACTCTTATCAAACATGATAAGTTTTGGGCAAATTGGACATTGTATGCAGTGTTACAACAACTTCCTGTTTCATGGCTTTAGCACTTAGTGAGTGTTGCTAGCATATTTCTATAATGTTTAGCACACAATATCATATTTTACTATGTTGCTAGTAATAGTGCATTACAGTGTTAAACATGCCACTTCCTGTTGCCAGTAGGTGGCACTATGACTGTAACCGAATATGGTCTTCAGGCCAGGACTCTTATCAAACATGTGAAGTTTGGGGCAGATCAGACATTGTATGGCTGAGTTACAACAACTTATTTTTCCATGAAGAAACATCGAACTTTGTCAGGCCACTAAGGACACGACCTTCAACAAAAACTCAAGATCTTCACAATTTAACGTCACAAAGGCCTTTAAATTACACTAACCAAATCTGGTGTTGATCTGATCTACTGAATTTCGTACATGTACGTGAAATTTATAGCAGGAGGGGCACTTCGTTGAAAGTGTATAGGTGGCGCTATTGAGGCATTTTGCCACACCCACTTCTGAAACCTATATCTTCTGGCCTGTGTGCAAAGTTTCTGGAGTTTTTTAGCATGTTTAGGCCCTCAAAAATGAGATTCGTTTTGGAGAAGAAGAAGAAGAAGAAGAAGAAAACAGAGCAATTCCAAGAGGATGCTTGGGCCCTAATAAGAATAATCCTAAAGAAAACAATAGGGAAAATTAAATATCCAATATTTGCCAATAATCAATATGGTATGTCTGTATTGTGCGTTCTTAATAAATAACATTCATCCTCGTCAGTTCTCATAATAGCATGAATCTCTCTCTTTTCAGGTGGTTTGTATATTTAAATGGTCCTCCAAGCTGCCAAGATCCTATGAGACCTGGGCTAAGAATCGAGGCCCTGAGATGTTCATCTTCATCACGACAGTGGTGGAGGTCTTCATCTCTCTTCTTCGCATGCTCCTCGACCCTCCCTTTCCATCTCGGGACTATGACTTCTACAGTGACAGCATTATTCTGGAGTGCAGTAAGACTCTGTCTCTCGGGGCCTTCGCTGAGCTCTTTTTTGTGTGTGTGTTGAGTTTAATTTGTTTCTGCCTGAGCTACATGGGAAAAGATCTGCCGGCCAATTATAATGAGGCCAAATGCATTACATTTAGTCTCATGATATATATGATTTCTTGGATCACATTCTTCACAGCTTACTGCATTTCCAGAGGGAGCTTCGCCATGGCCCTAAACGTAGGCGCCATTCTATTTAGTGTGCTAGGAATACTCGGTGGCTACTTTTTGCCAAAGGTGTACATAATCATGATAAAGCCCCAATTGAATACAGCAGCTCACTTTCAAAACTGCATTCAAATGTACACCATGTCCATGCAGTGAAAGCAAATAAGACTTTCTACTGTCTCTCAACATTAGGATAATCCAGTAGAGCCTACTAACAATACAGAGCAGCATAATCCCAGTTTCAGTCTTTTAGAAGCAGCCGATACTCTAATTGTCTCTGGACTGTGACTGCTTGGCATATGCGTAGCCAGTGGGCAGAATGACAGAGAAAGCCTAATTGTGTTGGCTACCGAAAGGGCAGAGCACCCGGTTCAGCTGTCCTGCGTGAACATCTGTCATGTGCTCCGCTCTCATGGGTGCCCAGTTTCACTCTAAACAATTTGGAGAACAGATTTAATTGGGCAGCTGATTTAAATCATGATCTTGGTCTTGCAGATAAAAGGACAGATGGCTTCACTTGTCCTGTTTGTCTTTAGTAAGTCTTTAAAGGAATAGTTCACCTGAAAATGAAAATTTGTTGGAAAAACCTATTCACCCTCAGGCCATCCAAGATGTAGATGAGTTTGTTTCTTCATCAGAACAGATTTGGAGAAATGTAGAATTACATCACTTGCTCACCAATGGATCCTCTGCAGTGAATGGGTGCCGTCAGAAGCTGATCAAAACATCACAATAATCCACAAGTAATCTACATGACTCCAGTCCATCAATTAATGTCTTGTAAAGTGAAAAGCTGCCTTTTTGTAATAAACAAATCCATTATTTTGGCACTTCCGGCCAAAATAATAAGTCCATAATTCATAATGGCGCTTGCTCCAGTGAAAAAGTCTGTCCACTGTTGTCCTCTCACACCAAAATACACAGACATATTTGTTTAGAAATGTTTTGGACTGTTTTCGTCTGTAAACAGTGTTTGATTTGTGCATATTATCTGTTACAATAAAGAAAGAAACGCATATACATCTTAGATGACCTGAGGATGAGTAGGATTTCAACAAATTTTCATTTTTTGGGTGAAGTACTTTTTTAATGCCCAAACAGCATTTGAGCTTTAAAGGGTTCATTCACCCAAAAATGAAAATCCTGTCATTAATTATACTCACCCTCGTGTCATTCCAAACCCGTAAGACCTTCATTCATCTTCGGAAAACAAATTAAGATATTTTTGTTGAAATCCGAGAGCTTTCTGACCCTGCATAGACAGTAATGCAACTGAAATGTTTTATGGTCCAGAAAGGTAGTAAGGACATCGATAAAATAGTCCATGTGATATCAGTGGTTCAACTGTAATGTTATGAAGCTACAAGAATACTTTTTATGCACAAAGAAAACAAAAATAACAACTTTATTCAACAATTTCTTGAGTCATTAATGACAGAATTTTTCATTTTTCAACTAAACCTTTAATGGAGGAACATCTGACCAGCTGTACTTGAATAGTGACTTAGAAATAGTGTAGAATCTGAAATATTTCTGAAATACTTTTTATACTATTTTATTTCTGTTTTTTTTTCTCAAAATCCTAAAGTTTCCTGTTAATTACCAGATTTAAATAAAATGTTAAAGCCTGAATTTTCCATGTAGACTTTTGGACTCCACTTGTTGCGTGTCTAATTGTTCAGTGACACACACACTTGCATCAGCCCCTGGGAAAAGATAGGATGAAAGGCTTGCTGTTGTTAGGGAGGTCATCTCCATTGACTCCGGAACGTGTGAGTTGGGAGCACGGAAGTGTTTCCCACACTACTTTCCTATTGTGAGTGTGATATTCTCAGGAGGGGAGAACAATAGAAGTGTGCCTGTAGAGGGTAGGCTGTGTAATTGTATTTACTTGACGTTACCCATCTGTGCTGGTAGAAACCTCATACAGACATAGTCTAGATTTATTTGAGAGCTTAAAATTGAACAATTGTTTTTCAAATAAAACATTTGAATTGTATTTTTTTTTTTTATGAATGCCATATGAAATTTGACTCTATTCCAGCAAAATAATAATAAAAATAAATAAATAAATGAAAAACAGTATTTCTCTGTCTGCCTCACAAAAAAAGGTCAAATTTGACGTGAAGTCATTTTGAATGTTTTAAGATTCCATTTGTTTTATTTTTATATTTTATTATATACAATTCTGGAATACCTTATTTGACAGAACTGTATAATAAAATGATCTCTTACAAGTAAAAATCAGTGGTTCACACAAATTGAGAGCTAGTTTTTAAACCTGTTAGCTCAGTTTGCCTGCATTTAGTAGATCAGCCCACAAGTGATGTTTAATGTAGTTCCCTAACCGGTTCACATAACTTGCTTATAATGCCAACTCTGTGTTTTCATAGCTGATGCTTTTTTTTTTTTCTTCAAACTAACAAATCAAACTATTGCATATATTGTGGCAGTTTCTTAAGCAATTAAAAAACAGATCAGGTGTCTGTAACATGCAATATATATATATATATATATATATATACAAAAAACTATTTAAGTAATCACATATGTGGTAAAAAGCACATTATGAGCTATTAAAACAGAACAAGAATCACATAAATCCACCTCTTTCTATTGACAAACACATGTTTGTCTAAAGTTTTTGTCAATCAATATGATGATACAAATGTACACTTTGGAAATTAATCTCCTACTTTTATGAGAGACATTACTATGACTGTCGCTCAGGGTTTACAGTTCACAGCATCTCTACCAGGGTCTCCAGACGGGCCTCCTGCTGTCAGGCTGTTGCAAACCAGCCGTGCTCAGTTTAGAGGAAGGTGCCGGTGGAGCGGAGCTGATAGCAGCACTCACTCGCTGAGCGTTGTGGAGGTGCTGGAGCTCCCGGCCGGATCTTCCTCCGGTGGAATGAAGAGTGAGGAAGTGGACAGACTCCCTCCAGCAGTGAGAGTAGCCTTCATTATAGTCCCTCTGAGGAAGCTGCTGCTGCTGCTGCTGTTTGAGAAAGCAGACAGTCATTTCCAGAATATCGGCCTTCTCCAGTTTGGCACTGGGGTCGTGGCTGTGAAACTCCTTCTCCAGGAGACTCTTGAGCTGGTCGATGCAGTCGTTGATGCGGTCTCTGCGCATCTTTTCAATAGCTGGTTTCCTCCGCTGAAAGCAAATGGGAACACTGATTAACACTGAACATGTTTCAAACTACATAAAATATACAATTTTGGTGAAATGCTTTGGAAGAACTGCATTGAAATGAAACATACCTTCATTTTGTCCTTATCACTGAAGTGAAGATGGTCAAAAGAGGAAAGCGTAACCAAATGAGGTGCCATGTCCAGGCTGGAACAGCTTGATTTTCTTCTGTGGCAAAAAGAGTTGTGAGTCTCTTTGAGGAGCAGCGCCCTGTAATTATACAGCAGCATTAGCATTACAAAGCCATGTGGCCTGTGCTGTGTTACTGTTCCCACACTCTTGAGACCAGAGGGCCGGCTCATCACAACAATAGAGGATATTAATTTTATGGTTAACTGCCTGCTCGCCTTGCACTGAAGGAATGTTTCCCAAGGTATCAGAGGGACGCCACACTTGAAGGTTTAGTGAAGGAATTTGGCCCTTTAGCCAATTCGAAAAATTAGATTTAATTTCTGTATCAAAAAATGATGATGAATATAGGTTGTGCATGTTTTCAAATGCACTTTGTTTTTACAAAAACATGTTTGGTAGAATACAAAAGATGAAAATAAAGTATATTTGATGAACCGTGACAATGCTCGATTGATGTCTGCGCATGCATCTAGTTCACACTTTGTGAAACCAAAATATAATGCAAACATTCTCAACATAGCACAAACTGTTCAGAGATGAAAAAGAATTTATGCACATACATTTTAATGAATTAAGTATATTTTATATATTGCAAAAATTCCAGATAGCACAAACTGTCCAGTGATTAAAAAGAATACACACTGTAAGAAGTTATTTTTTTCAAAGTTGTGAATAAAACAAGATTATTAGAGTACAAGAAAACTGTATACTTCTTCAAAATGTAACGTTTAATTTAATGTTACTTGATGCTTATTTATAATTAATTGTGAAATTTACAAGCAATTTTTGACTGAAAATTGTTTCATTGTTCAGTTTTTATTTTTATTCATTCTTTTTTTTTTTCAGTGTAAGGACATGCATTTTTTTATGCAAAAATATATTTTATAAACTATAGGGTTAATTCATACCAAAATATGCTGCAAAAACTCTGGATAGCACAACTGTCCAGTGATGAAAAGGAATATATGCACATACAATTTTTATGCAATAATAAAGTATACTTTATATACCATGTAACCACATATTTGATGAAAATAAAATATTTTTGATGAACCATGCTAATTGATGTTTGCACATGTATAATTCACACTTTGTGTAACCAAAATGTAATGCAATAAAAATTCAACAGCGCAAACTGTTCATTGATGAAAAAGAATGTATGCACATACATTTAATGCAATAAAGTATATTTTATATATTGCAAAAATTCTAGACAGCACAAACCGTCCATTGATTAAAAAAATACACAATGTAAGCAGTTATTTTTTTCAAATTATTATTACTGTTTTACAAGAAAAAAATATTTCTGAGGGGGGGGGCGAGAGACCCAGCAGGAAACACAGACTCGAGTCCGTTCCCAGGCCAGGAATATTCCTTTGATAACTGTTAACAGCATGACTGTCATCTCTACTTAAGTTAGGTGGCAAAGCAGTCGCGTCCACGTGCCAGATTACGGAAGTTCTCATGTAGCTGTGGAACTAAAGCATCTACATTTTTATCTTCTAAAAATATTTATGAGGCGAAATAATTCGATTTGTAACGTGTTTTGCTTTAGCTTATTTTATGCAAGGTGTCAGCACGCGTCAGGAGCTCATGCTCTGAGATCAGTGCGGTTGATTGATTGTACGGCCAGCTGTTCCCGCCGCTCTACTGTCCCGATCACACGCCCAGCAAACGCCGAAAATTTATCAAAAGCCAAAAGGGTCAGAATTCTCCTACTACTAGACACAGACAAAATACAAGTACGTGAGTAAAGTGGTTTTACTGTGGCAATGAAGTTCAATGCTTGGAAATCCCTCAGAACACCTTAAAACACACAGCACCACCTTTGTGTATCGTGACAACATCTTTTTTTATGTGGAAACAGCATTTATATTTTGTTCAGAAGACACACAATTCTTTTTTTTTTTTCAGTTTTTATAGTCCATTTCCTCCGTCTAAAATATTGTAGGTGATACATTCTAGTTATTCTTCGAGTGAAAACCAGCGATTTAATAGTTGATATTACTATTGTAGTTGTTGTTGTTAATATTTTTAATTATTTTATTATTATTATTAAATTTTCATTTTTATTTTACATTTGACTCTTTATTCATTAGTTTAACTTTATTGAGTTAAAGAGAAAAGGAGAATAGAAACAATAGCCTTTGCAAGTAGCTGAAATTTAATTTACTTTTTTTTTGTTAATATTTTTTCAAGTTAAGGATTGTTTCAAGTATTTTTTTTTAATTGTATTATTATTATTATTATTTACTTTTATTTAATGATAATAAGCTTGGTTAAACAGACTCTTTTTTTATTGTGATGGATAGCAAAGACTAGTGTTTATGCTGCACATATAGTGTGTGTTCTGTGTGTTTGCTTGTATTTTACACATATAGGCTATTAACATACTGGAGTTTGTGTTTGAGGACATTCCCACCATCCTGGGTGTTTTAATCTGACAAGTGCAAACAATGCACTAATTGCTCCATTGAAAATGTTAATTGCATCTTTGTTGTAAAACAAACGGTCCGTCTTAGTGTCACACACAAACTTGGGAAATCAAGCTTGTGGTTATGCAATAGTGAGGAATACAGACGTTTTAGCAAAGAAATCTACATTTTTTATATATACAGGTGCATCTCAATAAATTAGAATGTCGTGGATATATAAATAATTCTATATTCTCGACTATAGCAGATATGAAGTCTATTCTAAGTTTCAGTTGAGTTGGATATATGATTTTGTTCCTGTGATTACTCTATGCTCATCTACCTAAGCAACAGGCCTTAAGACATAATGTTTGTGTGGCATAAGGTACTGGGCTTTTACTGAAGATCCCATGAGTTCTGTATGAGAGGCCAGCCTTCCTTTCCCACAGTCTGTTCATTGACTGCCCACAGTAAGGAAACCAAAGAAGTGCGTCTTGTTACACATCACATTAATCACGGTGTTTGAACTCTCTTTATTAGAGGGGGACCTAATACATAGCATAGCAAGACCATCTGGTCTTCAGACTCTGCTCAAACACTTTTAGGACTTTCCCCGTATTCAGCAAGAGTTTTTAAAATCAGTTCACTGCTAGAAAATCTTACTATTTAAAAATGTTCGAGTCCGGTGTTAGTTAGTTTATTTATTGCATTTATTAATTAATTAATTTATTCACATATATATATATATATATATATATACACACAGTATATATATAATACTTATAAAAGTGCCAAATAATATAATATATTTTTAACCCTATAAAATATTTAAGCTAATTTCTTTAGCATAGTGAGTAGTACAGTATGTGATTGGTTGAGGCAGTCAATATGATCTAATCACTGATGCCATTCAGCAGTATTTCTGCTTATATTTAATTTGAATGGGTCTCTTTATCTGTCCTTACCTTGTTCAATGAGCAGCACCTGAGAAGCATAATGTTTCTTAGAGAACGTGATTATAAAGTATCTGTAATTTCTGTTTGGTTTGCCTTTTAAATTTTCCTGGAATTGAATTTGTGAATCTGTACAAGATGTGCAGTTTTGTAGATCTGCCCCTTTGAGGCAAATTGTAGGTGTAAGTTCAACATCACTTTCTGGCAGAGGTGGACAGTAACGAAGTACACTTTTTGAGTATCTGTACTTTACTTAAGTAATATATATTTTTTGGAAACGTATGACCTTAACTTCACTATATTTTAAAGACAAATATCGTACTTTTCACTCATTTCTATCAAGGTCCTCAAAGTAGAAAGTAGTTGCTATGTAGCAGCTTTAAAAGTCAGTGGGTGACCTCTTTTTTTCAGACAGTGTATCAGTAATCACTCTTGTAGGGCTACGTGAAGTGATTTCCCAGCATTTTCTGAACACTGACCAGTTGCAAATGTGATATTTATTTACAACAGTTCAATAATAAGAAGTTAATATTGTGGTATGTATTAGACACAATATAGTCTGATTTTGCAAAATTGTGTAAATTAAAATATTTCCTATAAAGCCAACGAAGAACTGTTGTGCATCTCCTAACAAAACACAATAGGTGTTTGACTTGAAGCAGCACTGCACTGATCTGTATATATAAGACATCAAAGTACCACGAGTGCCACGATTAGAGAGCATTTTTGAAATTGTTGTCAAATTAATCTTGCCGTTTTGCTTATTTGTTAAAGCAATGTTGCTGTTGTAAAGTTATACATGTAGATGTGTGCACACTGCCAGAGCTGTGTGAGATCACTACCATGCTGCTAACAATAATTTTTTTTTTGTCAACTCACTTGTTTCATTTCTATAGGTTTTTAACATTCTAAAAGCTCTTTATTCCAAAGATACTACGAGCTAGTCAGTGTATTCAGTAGGCATAATGTATTGTAAGTTGCTTCAGAGGCATAAGGTATTGCAAGTATTACATACAACAATAATAAAAGTGCATTGACATAAAAAAGGAAATTTACTTTTGGTACTTAAGTACTTTTAAATGCAAGTAAAAATCTGTCTTTACAACTTTCACTTGTACTGGAGTAATATTTGATCAGCAGTATATGTACTTTCTCTCAAGTAATGTGTACTTGTGTACTTGTGTCCACCTCTTCTTTCTGGTGACAGGGATGCCACCTATCCTAACTGATTATAAGGTATCTTGTTAGGAGATAATAATTGCTTGAGTGGATAACAAAGCAAATAAGTGCTTGTTTGTGATTAGATATTTATCAAATATGTAATTGTAACCAACCGATGCAATTAAAAAGTTAGTGGAATGTGTGAAAAGTTGTTTGAACTTTAAAGTATCTGAGGTTTTTTTATGAATGAGCACACTGACAGAAAATGTAATGTAAAATAGACGTTTATTTTTATAAAACATTTGCAGATGATATTCCACATCTTCATTTAGTGCTTTAAATTGTTTTTTTTTTACCACTGTTCTTGATTGTTAAACTAATCTCACATGTTTAAAATACATTTACCTAAATAATCTTTATAAAAGAATTTGTCATAGTTGATTATGTAAGACCTACAACACCAACAATAAAACATTCAAAAAAGAACAAAAGGTTAATAAAAATCATAAGATCCATTGGATCTATTCAGAAACATGGAACATGTTCATAGAATATTAATATTGCATCTCACTGTGAGATATATATATAATTGTTAACACAGCAGATTCAGTTCGCTTGAAGCTTGATTTGCCAATAGCAAAAATACAGTGAATTCCAAATGTAGGAATACAATCAATTATTCTCTCATGAAAGAGAGAGACCTAGAATAACATGTTAATCGTGGTAGTTAACATTGTTGTTTTTAAAAAAACATAAGAACAGCTTCTACCAGGGTCTCCAGAGCTCCAGAGTTTGCTCTTTGCTGCTGCTCTGTGCGGCTGGTGAATTGAGCTGAGGCGGCACACGTGTGTTGTTATCTGTGTAGGGCTGCATGTGCAGGAAGTGCTTCAGCAGACTTCTGTGGGACTCAGTCTGCACTGGACACTGAGACAGGAGGTTGACGGCCTCCTGCACACATCTGGAGCGTCCGTCACGAGCTGCAGTAGAGCTGCAGGCCGAGGGATTCTGGGAGCGCTGCTGGTGTCTCAAGAAATCAAGCGTCGTCTCCAGGATTTCAGCTTTCTCCTGTCTGGAGTCGTGCTGTTGCTTTAGGAACTCTTGATCCAGAAGAGACTTGAGCTTCTCAATGCTGCTGTTGATTCGTTCTCTGCGGATCTTCTCCACTATTGGCTTTCTCAGCTGAGGAAACATCAAGAACATGCATTTAGAAACTCTCATCCATCATTTATGCAGTTCACATTCCAGAGGAATATATATGATTTTAGGCATATATATGATTTTAGGCAGGTGTATTAAATATTTACCTTGTTTGAGAGTGGAAGTTGTTCTCTGCTGATGATTGATCCAGTGATTGTAAGTGCCAGTGCTGTGTCTTTAGTTCAGTTCTTCGTTAGGATCCGAACAGATCTGTGCTCAGCTCTCTCTCCTCTCCCTCTATTTATACTCCCAAATCTCCATATGAATGTGTGAGTCTGGAGTTTGCTGGAGGTTCTCACAGTCTGCAGCCAATGGGAGCATTCGAAAAGCTCAAAGGAGCAGAGGGCTGCCACATGCTCAGTGAGGCATTTATTGCACAGGAAACAATGAGCTCGTCTCTGACCGGCAGGTGGAGAGGGATGTATTACAGGGAGGAAGATTGTGAGAAAGTGTAAACCCCTTTTGAAGTCTCATCTGATGCTCTGATGTCTTATTTGATAAGTGACCTATTAGTAGTGTAGAATCAAAAGTTTTTATTCATTTTGCATAACTTTTTTGTTAAATTAATTATTTTTAATGTTTAATACATTTTTGTAAAAGTATGTTTAAACATGTTTCATTCTCAAGTTTAAGTGGAAAAAATATCCATTCTACTTCAGATTTCCTCAAGAAACAGGACAGCAATTCGATAGTAAGGTGCCACAGGTTTACTCTTTCAGATGCAATTCAGATGTCCTCTCTCAGAATGAAGTCTTGAAGGTGGGTGTTGTAGTGCAGGACTGGGACTGCACTTTCCACAGCTTTCCCACAGTCTGTCCATTCATCAGAGATGAATAGAAGTGTGCCTTACTGCAGGCAATTAGGCATGTCGTCAAGAGACTATAGAAACCTCACAGGGGTGTTTATGACAGTCCCTAATTGAGATGGGCATTTATTTGCTTGTTTGGACTCATAGATTCATGCTTAAAAAGTGAGAATTCAATAAATAGATTCATTCAATAAAATTGTAAAACTGTAATTTTACAAATATTTTTGCCATCGTGTAATTGAAGATGATTTTATTGATGATTAGTAGATGATTATTTACTGGCTGAAATATGAATTTCAAACCTTCTGTTTATTATCCTTATGACCATATTTGACTTTTTACAATCACTATTAATATTGATATTTAATAATTCTCTAAATTATTCTAAAAGGGTGAAATGGAAGAAATTTTGAAACCATTATTTTCATTGTAGGTCTTTCATATAAACAGCACGTGCTTTTGTGAGCAATTAATCATAATGGTGAGCAACAAGGCTGCACTTTCTCACACACTCTCCCACCCTCCACCTGCTCCCCAGAGATGCGCTTATTGTGTCGGAGCAATAAGGGCTTCAGCAGCCATGTGGCGGCCCAAACGCTCCCATTGGCTGCAGACTGTGAGAACCTCCAGCAAACTCCAGACTCACACATTCATATGGAGATTTGGGAGTATAAATAGAGGGAGAGGAGAGAGAGCTGAGCACAGATCTGATCCTAACGGAGAACTGAATTAAAGACACAGCCATGGCACTTACAATCACTGGATCAATCATCAGCAGAGAACAACTTCCACTCTCAAACAAGGTAAATATTCAACATCTCATATCTGACTGCATAAATCATAGATTGTTATGAAATATAAACAGCATAAATGATGGATGAGAGTTTCTAAATGCATGTTCTTGATGTTTCCTCAGCTGAGAAAGCCAATAGTGGAGAAGATCCGCAGAGAACGAATCAACAGCAGCATTGAGAAGCTCAAGTCTCTTCTGGGTCAAGAGTTCCTAAAGCAACAGCCCGACTCCAGACAGGAGAAAGCTGAAATCCTGGAGACGACGCTTGATTTCTTGAGACACCAGCAGCGCTCCCAGAATCCCTCGGCCTGCAGCTCTACTGCAGCTCGTGACGGACGCTCCAGATGTGTGCAGGAGGCCGTCAACCTCCTGTCTCAGTGTCCAGTGCAGACTGAGTCCCACAGAAGACTGCTGAAGCACTTCCTGCACATGCAGCCCTACACAGAGAACAACACACGTGTGCCGCCTCAGCTCAATTCACCAGCCGCACAGAGCAGCAGCAAAGAGCAAACTCTGGAGTTCTGGAGACCCTGGTAGAGCCACGAGGACCCGTATGATTTATCAGACAGAATTTATTATGCCAGTCTGAGATTGGCATGGACTGTAATTCTAATGTAGGAATTGATTTCCACCTCTGCTGCTTAATCTGCTTTCAGAGAAAGTTTGTTTCATTGAAACTGTGTGACCAGTAATATTTGATCAGAATGTACAGAATCATTTGCTTTGTAAAATGATTATTACATTTGTAAAAATTAAGTTTCAAAGAAACGTTAAAGTCTGATTCAGACATTTGAGCTCTTGTAGCTCTTTCACCCATATTGGGTTTATTTTCTCAGCATCTAAAGGATGATGACACTGCTTTCATTTATTGAAAACTTTTGATTTATGTTTTGTTGTTTAAAATAGATCTCATATTTCTTATGAGATTTTTTTTTTCATCTGAAGGAAATATTTTGTGTGTTGAAAGCACAAATTGCAGTTTTTAATGTTTGCATGTGTTTAGATGAATGAGACATTTCCCCTGTAAAGGGCAGTTGTTTATCACTGCTCACTGTTAGTGATTTGAATTTTACTCTTTGTATTCAAAGTCAAGTTGTTACCTTCTTTAAAGGTGTCTTGCATTGCACCTTGCACTGGATAATAATTTGAAATGTCTGTGACATTCCCAGTTCAAGAGAACTACAGATGTAATAACATGAGTTCTTCATGATTGTGAAAATGTTTTTGCATATTGTTACTAATGTTACTACTTTGTTACTTTAAGGCTCTTGAATGTCCTTCAAAATCGAGGCAGAAGGTCACTGTCAGATTTGCTCTCATATGAAGAGCTGCAATCATATTGCTTATATCAAATAAATTGTACTATCAAAGTTTTTGTTCGGTGTTCTGTTTTATTTAACTATATACTTAATACATATTTTTAATAGAGTAAAGTATGTCTGAATAGTATAGTCTCATCAAAAACTCTAACCCCCGGTTTCACCGACAAGGCTTAAACCTAGTCCCAGACTAAAATTCATGTCTGAGCTGTTTTTTTACTGAAAGAAACTTGCACTGACACTGACAGTGTTTACATAGCTTTATACACTTAAATTTCAGTTAGAGTAAATCAAGGTCTGATCTTGAAAAGAAAATCAGCGTGTCGGATGTGGGAAAGGTGTGTTAAATAAAAATTTAAATTTTACTATTATTAACAGTATTTTTAGGGTTACAACATTTCAAGAATTGGGTTGAGAATCAGATGAATTATCAATTTTTTCAAAACTTATTTTGTCTTTTCAAAATAAGATAGATATTAAAATAGCATAGTTCTAACCGGCGAACCTGACTTGATATAAGTTTCTAGCTGTCAGAAAATGTTTGAATTTACAGTAATTACTTGGGAAATAAATTCCTGCATATTTTTTCCATGCAGGTATAGCTCATATAGTTCTCACAGTGGATGAATATTCATGTTAAAATACAGAGGCCACAAAATATAGAACACAATGTGTGTGTTACACAAAACTTGTTTTTTTGTGTGATTAATAATAACCCAAAACCCATTACATATCAACCTACACTGATAAGGAGACAGTAGATGACTGTCTCTGATTGAAGCCTGACTGATGGGGTAAAGCTGTACTGAGACTTCATTCCCTGGAGTTTTCCCACACTCTGCCCATTCAGAGAACTCAACAATAGTGTGTTTCATTAAGAACAATTCAGCACATGGCCATAAGAACTTCAACAGAGACCCACGGGACAGATTCTACTGAATCATTAGCAGTCATCTTAATTACTGTAAGATGTATTTGGAGATTACTCTTTTAAAGTTTAAGGCATTGTTATACATTTAAAAAAAACAAAGGGAAAAGACTGAACTAGGTAATGTTTTGTTACTCTGAAACTGCCGTTTCAAATTATGGTTATCGTGTGTAAATTTCAGAGTCATGGCAAATGAGAAGTTCTTTTTAATTCCTGTTATTTGCCTCTTAAAAAGCAAAAACCTGCACAAGGTGTATATCTTAATGTTTACACTTCTGTTCAATAGATGTCTTATGCTTACCAAGGCTGCAATTATTTGATTTAAAATACAGTAATAACAATAATATTGTGAAATATTATTAAAATGTTTCTTTTTCAATATATTTTAAAATGTATTCCTGTGATGGAAAAGCTAAATTGTCAGTTTCAAGAAACATTTCTTATTATTGTCAATGTTGAAAACCTAATATTAAAAATTAAGTATTAAAAAAACGTAATATTAAAATATTGAAAGCTTAATATTTCTGCAGAAACATCATACATTTTTTCAGGATTCTTGATGAATAGAAAGTTTAAAAGAACAGCATTTACTTGAAACTGAAATCTTTTGTAACATTATAAATGGCCTTACTGTTACTTTTGACCAGTTTCATGTATCTTTGCTAAATACGTATCAACTGTTTCCAAAAAAATAAAAAAATACTGAACACAGACATTTGATTGGTAGTGTATACATGTGCTTTTTAAAAAACTTTTTTGTCTCATGTACCCCAAAAGCCCCATCAGTAAAGCTCAAGTACCAGATTTTTTTTAGGATTATCATTAATATTAGTAGAGTCACCAGTATTATTACTATTTTTTTTTATATTTGAAAGGAGCTGGGGGGAAAAAACCATGAGATAAATCACAGTTAATTAGTTATTTTAATCTGTTTTTTTTGTTGTTTTTTTTTGTTTTTTTGAATTACTGGTTTAACAAAACAAAAGCAAAATATTTCCAAGTACCCCCAGGAACCTGCCTAAATACTCCCAGGGGTCGACACACGCCTGCTTTATAGGAATCACTAATTTATTTTGAAAAGGGACATCTGAATTACACTAAAAAGATACTCAACAGAACAGTTATTATAAAACTACTTGCACATCCACCAGAAATGAAACCTTATGATGAATCAGTTGATTCCCCTCCTGTTGAATAAAACTGAAATATGTTGCGTTGTGTTTTGGCGATGAGAATGTTCCACTATTAATGGCACATGCTTTGTCAATAAATGACCCCAGTGTCACACAACAAACAAAGCTTTAAATGAGGGCTCTCCACTTTCTCACACACTCTCCATTCTTAACACCCATCCCTCCACCTGCTCCTCAGAGACGTGCTCATTGTTTCCTGAGCAGTAAGCATGTCATTTAGCATGTGGCGGCCAACTGTTCCTTGTGTCATTAGTCCTGTCCCATTGGCTGCAGACTGTGAGAACCTCCAGCAAACTCCAGACTCGTAATATTTGATCAGAATGTACAGAATCATTTCCTTCGTACAATGATGACATTTGTGAAAATTAAGATTCATAAAAACATTAAAGTCTGATTTAGACTGAGGTCTTGTTGCTCTTTCACCCATATTGGGTTTATTCTCTCACTGCTTTCATTTACTGAAAGCTTTTGATGCATATTTCTGTTGTTTGAAATACATCTAATGCTTCTCTTATTATATAAGAAATATTTCTTCATTTGAAGGATATTTGATTATGTGTTAAAAGCACAAATTATTGTTTTTAATGTTTGCATGTGTTTACATGATTGAGACGTTTCCCCTGTAAAGGGCAGTTGTGTAGTGTCACTATTAGTGATTTAAACTGTCTTTTATAAGCAAAATGAAGTTTTCACTTTCTGTGATGGTGTTTTCCGTGCATTACTTCATATTGAAGTACAGGATAAAAATAAATGTGATTATATTTTCTGACTACAAACCCTTGTTGTCACTGAATTCCTTGTCCATCAGATTAACACACAGCATAAATCAAAGCACATTTGCACACTTTAAAAGTTATTCAAATCACTATTTAGTTTAAATCTCATGGTTTGGTTCAAGATGCACATATACTTGAAAATATCCCTATAAATGATGCATTTATCAATTCAGATATAAGCAAAATTATTATGTCTCTATTCAGGTCTAGTTTGCAGTTTATTCATGTCATATTTGACTACTGACCTTTTACTACATTAACTGCAGTTATTCAATGAAAAATAATGTATTTTCATCACGTTAAGCACTCAACATCCAGCATAGATCAGACCTGAATTTCACTGAGCAGAGATAAACATATAATTACATACAGTAAGCAAATTTGTCATCTATTAGAGGATAAATAAAGATGCATTTTCTTGAGATGACAGCAGCACAATCCCTCATTCCATTACAGGAAATCTGGTCACTTCAGAGGTAAACAGGAAACAGGGCAAGTCATGCTATCATATTCAAACTTATTAAGAGCATTCTCAGAAAAAAAGGTACAAAAGCTGTCACTGGTGCGTTACCCTTACAAAAGGTATACCTTTATACCTTATTTGCCCATAAAGTGTGCATATGAGTTCCTTAAATACACGTAGTACCGAAAGTGTACATATTATTACCTAAATGGTTCCACCCCACTGACAGCTTTTGAGTGTAGCTGTGATTTCATTTAACTTATGAAGATCTTGACAGATGAAGAACTTGCTGAAAGTATTCAGATTATATTTTATGTTTTAATGTAATAATTATTTTATACGGCAAATGAAGGACCTTGATGTGCAGACTGACTAAACAGCAATTAAAACATATTTATAGTGTGCAAATGTGCTGTGATTTGTTTTGATTGATGAGGAAAACAGACAAAACATTGCACAGATTATATTCTTGAAATTTATTTTCATGTTGCACTTCAATATGAAGTAATACAAATGCTGACACACCTTCAATGAAGGTAACAACTTGACTTTGAATACAAAGAATAAAATTCAAATCACTAACAGTAACAATATTCAACTGCCCTTTACAGGGGAAATGTCTCATTCATGTAAACGCATATAAACATGAAAAACAACCATATGTGCTTTTAACACATAATCAAATATCCTTCAAATGAAGAAATATTTCTTATATAATAAGAGAAGCATTAGATGTATTTCAAACAACAGAAATATGCATCAAAAGCTTTCAGTAAATGAAAGCAGTGAGAGAATAAACCCAATATGGGTGAAAGAGCAACAAGAGCTCAGTCTAAATCAGACTTTAACGTTTTTATGAATCTTAATTTTCACAAATGTAATAATTTTACATGGCAAATGATTCTGTACATTTTGATCAAATATTACTGGTCACAAAGTTTCAATGAAACACAAACTTTCTCTGAAAGCAGATTAAAGGTCCTGCATAAGCAGTAGAGGTGGAAATCAATTCCTACATTAGAATTACAGTCCATGCCAATCTCAGACTGGCATAATAAATTCTGTCTGATAAATCATACGGGTCCTCGTGGCTCTACCAGGGTCTCCAGAACTCCAGAGTTTGCTCTTTGCTGCTGCTCTGTGCGGCTGGTGAATTGAGCTGAGGCGGCACACGTGTGTTGTTCTCTGTGTAGGGCTGCATGTGTAGGAAGTGCTTCAGCAGTCTTCTGTGGGACTCAGTCTGCACTGGACACTGAGACAGGAGGTTGACGGCCTCCTGCACACATCTGGAGCGTCCGTCACGAGCTGCAGTAGAGCTGCAGGCCGAGGGATTCTGGGAGCGCTGCTGGTGTCTCAAGAAATCAAGCGTCGTCTCCAGGATTTCAGCTTTCTCCTGTCTGGAGTCGAGCTGTTGCTTTAGGAACTCTTGACCCAGAAGAGACTTGAGCTTCTCAATGCTGCTGTTGATTCGTTCTCTGCGGATCTTCTCCACTATTGGCTTTCTCAGCTGAGGAAACATCAAGAACATGCATTTAGAAACTCTCATTCATCATTTATGCTGTTTATATTTCATAACAATTATAATTTATGCAGTCAGATATTAGATGTTGAATATTTACCTTGTTTGAGAGTGGAAGTTGTTCTCTGCTGATGATGCTATATCAGATAACATCATCTGCTCATTCTAAGTTTTTCTCTCTTTTTTTTTTTTTGACAAAACTGTGTCATAATGCAGCAATTAATCATGATTTCATGCATATAATGTGAAAATAAAAATGTGTAAGTGTGACCAATATTATTATATGCATCAGGTTTGTATCAACTTTTGTGTAGGCACAGAATAATTTGCATACTTAATATTTATATAATAAATATGTATATTAAACTATTACAAATAAATAAATTTTTAATTAGATAAATTCAATTTAAAATGTATTGAAAATAATAAATAAATAAATTGATTGATGTTAAATGTCTACACATTAAAGGCAGAGTAAGTGATTTTTCAAAAACACTTTAGAAAACTGATTCAGGCCGAATCGCAAAACAAACTTGTAGCCAATCAGCACCTTTTATGCTGAGGTTTGCTTGTTTTAGAGCTATGAGCAAAATAATCCACCACTCTATATTTAATAAATATGAATATAAATAAATAAGTATAATAAATAATTTATGAATAAAATAGGAATAAATTGATGTTTAATGTGTATTTAATAAGTAAATCAATAAATATTGCTAACTTTTATGTTGAGTTTCACTTGTTTTAGAGCTATGAACTAAATCCATCATTGTATATGAAATATTAATGTGCATAATGAATGAATGAATGAACAGATGAATAAATACATTTTTGATGTTAAATGTCTAAACATTTAATCTCTTTGCCATCACCTTTTAGGCTGAGTTTTGCTTTCTTGAAGTATTTCTGGACAGATGTTTAAGTGCACATTCCCACACATTATTGGCTGACAGCATGAATGAGGTCAATGCTAATTCACATGCTCACTGCTGCTCTTTTAGCAATGCAGTCCTTGACTGACAGACCAAATAAAACCCACCTGCTCATTTGGTTTTTAGGGCCTTGGCATTAAATATTTAAACAATCCACCCTTGCACTATTGTCATACTGCAGTTTCCTGATTGGTTAAAACGTGTGAGAACTTACATCTCGTTAAATTCAGCCCGCCTGCATATAAATTCAAGCCAAGGGAAAGAGAAAATTCAATGCATATCACTTCTCAACACAACACACTGAAGAACAACCCAGGCCTTCACCATGAGAGATCTGCAGAAAACGTAAGTTAATCATGACATAAAGTTATTGTCTGTTACAGTTATTTTCAAACTATTGAACTAAGTCATGTAAATGCTTCTTGTCTCTTAGGTATAAACTTGTGAGTCTGGAGAGGAAATGCTCAGATGGCGTAGAGCAGATTATGGGCGTTCTGGAGCAGCAGCTGCACAATGGTGTTTCTCCCACTGACCTTTGGGGAAAAACAGTCTCTTTCTTCACCCCAAAGAAGACCTTGCTCTTCCACAATGGATACTCCAAGTATTCGAGGGAGACACTTCGCTTATTCCCAGACTCAGCAGAGGATGTGGCTCCTTTGTGTATTTAGCAGTGACAAGAAGCAGTGCCATGGAAGAGATGGAAATGCATTTGTCAAATCTTGATCTGCTGAAAGACGTTATGAACTGAACTCACCCTGTGTACTTGAAATGGAGGCGTTATTCTCCTATCTTATTTTTTCCAGCAGCATATTAATGAAAAAAAGTATTTTATAAAGACGAATTCTAAATCGAAATGAACACTGCCCTGAGGGGATTTTTTTATCGGTCCAGAAATGGATCTTATGTTGGGATTTGTTGTAATATTAACAATTGTAGGTAATTGCTTTGATGCAATATACAAAGAAAAAAAGATATTCAGAATTCAACATTAAGCATATATGAATGTTGAATGATAAACTTAAAACTAAACTATATTCCTTGATAAAAAGGAAAGTCTTGTATGCTGTTTATGCAAGAGATTATGTTAGTCTTTATTACTTTCAAATTTAAAAAAGGCATTTATTGATGATTTAATGAGACAGGTTTATGTGAATCTTTTTTGTTAATAAAAATCCATTTCATGTGTATTAGCCTATTTGTTTATTCAGCTTTACTATATTGTATAGAGTATTATTCATGTATAGTTGTTGTCATGTTTTGTGGATTCAGTAACAAAAGTGACACAACTAGGCTAAAGTACAGGGTTTCTGCCGGTCTTAAATGTCTTAATTTGCCCTTGCACAAATTAAGGCCATTAGAAGGCCTTAAATCAGCGCAGAAAGTCTTAAATTGATAAAGTCTTGGCATTAAATGTTGCAGGCATTGCTAAAAATTCATATCTTCCTCAGTATTTTTGTCATGTTTTCCAATACAAATAACTAACTCAATCTTTAAAATCAGGATACATTTACTTGAGATTCAAAGTTATCTTTTGTCATTTTGCTTCTCGAATAAAAGGATCATGATTTAAGAATCTTTAGATATTTACACAGGTAAACAAGACTAAATAAATAAATGCAAATATACTGAGGAAGAACATCACTATTTTGCGGTGTGATCAGAAGTTACAAGTAAAAGTTACTTCCATGTTCTAGTGGTTGGGAGCTGAGGTATTCAAGTCTTAAACTTTGTGTGTGTGTGTAAAATGAATCTAAAAATAATATAGATATGCTGGAAGTTGTTTTTCAAAGTGTTGTTAATATGTGTGCTCCTTAGACATTTACATTTAGAGAACATACTGACCTATTGTGTTCCTTTCAATTTATTCCTTACATTTTCCTTACTTGGTCTCAAAAATGTATTTAAAAAAGTTTTAAATTTACCTTCATAAAATCTGCAGAAATGCAAAGTAGTAGTACACAAACTGTTCTGCATTGCCATCTTGCGGTCCCCAAGAGTCACTGCAATGACATTCATTTGGGGCCATTAGTTGAATGTTACTTAACAAAAACAAAACAAACGAAAAAAACGCATTGTTATAGACAGCAAGGACATTTAATATATTTAGGAAAACTTCCCCTTAGAATGTCACACATATATGACAGTGTTTTAATTGCCTTGAAATAAATCTCATTCTAAGCTAAATCCTCAGTTTGATGTTCATTGCGATTTACACTGGGCGAAGCTCAACAGATCACTGTGTTCCACAGTGAGCGGTGTGTGATGCAGGGGCGTAGCCATCATTTCAGAAGTGAGGGGGACAGAAATGTTACATATAAAACCTCTATGCGAACACACTTGCCCGAAAAAGTGCGGGGGACGAATTTACGTGATATTAAAAGTGGGGGGGGGGACACGTCCCCCGCGTCCCCCGCGTAATCTACGCCCCTGGTGTGATGCATTTACATTAAAAAACAGGAGCAGGAGGGGGCGGTTGATTTATTGCCTCCTGCTGAGGGGCAGGTGTTCCCCTGGAGATGTGAGCAACTAATTCAACTGCTGTTCCACTGGACCCCAAAACCTCCACATTACTACTGTCATCCACCAATCACTCTCCGGGCTTCTGGCCTGGTTTCTTTCTATGATCAAACCCCTGGGAGATGTACTGGGAATGAACCCCTCCCAGTTTAATCACACTTACAAGAACGGTCGGAACAGAACAGAACAGGACAGAACAGCAGTAATGTTCAAAAATATCTTGCATGGCTGCACAGTGACATTATTTGTCAGTGTCTCACGGTGTCACATAAACCTGTGCAGAAAATAAAACATTTTAGAGTGGCAGAACAATGCACTTTCAAATTTCACAGATCAGTACGCTATAATTTAGATGTTGTTGGATGACTGCCCATATTACACTTTTCGCGTTGCTATAATTAATAGAGCCTGCTAATTACAATTAATTATTAGGCCTGCACTGCTTTCTGTAATACTTGATTGTAATTAGTCTATTGCGGTATTGAACGTTCAAATATTTGTTGTTTTATGGAAGCTAAATTAAATATTTTAAAACACCTGCGCCACTTTCATGTAGCCTATCCTGCATTTCTCTGCGGTCTCGCTCTTTTCATATCAATGCACTTAAAATAGCGCCATCTCGCGACTAAAATCAATTGATATCAATGTCCCTGAATATGCATAGTAGGCTGCTCATTTTAATGCATGGAAGGTAAACATAAAACGAAATCAATAACGAAAAGAAGAACTAAACAGTAAATGAGATAGCTACACAGAGCTGGATGAGAAAGGAAAAATTGGATTAAAATAGGACTGAATCGCGGATTAATATGATAGGCTATAATAATTTATATTTATATTTATATTGTAGTAATATGTATAAATTATACAATTTATATAATATATATATAATTATAATAATTATATAATATAAATCATTTATATTGAAATATGTTCGCTTTTGCCTCTTAGCAGAGGTTTTATATTAATCTAAAATAATAATGATATAATATAAAATATTAATTTAACTGAAATAAATATTTAAAATCCATGTATTGGTAAGTAACCGTTTTACACCCTGCTGGGGTTTGCTTTTTCTAAACTAATTGTACTAATTGTAATTGAAGACTGTATGTTCAAATTTTGAATGATAACTGATAAAGGATAGGCTAACTGAACATTATAGTGTAAACACATAGGCCTAAATATTTCATAAATAGTTCCTTAATGTATAACACATTTTACAAACAATATTAAACATTAACACATTTCCCAAAACCTGAACCATTAAAACCCGTCAGACTCGCGCCATTGTTTGAGTCAGTATGATGAGATGCGAGCGCTTCTTTTGTTCAGGTATTTAGGTTAGGCGACGCCCGTGAGAGCTCGAGACGCTTCACACGCACACGCGCGCTCATTGTGGACTGCAACCAGAAAGAACGGATCACACAACGGAGAACAGGTGATCACTTTCGCTATTCTTTTCTCTTGCATGTTTGTTATTGTTCTTTAGTCATTATTGCATTAAGTAGGCTATGTCATTGTCTTAACGGTGTTACTACAGAAATTGTTGAAACGTTATTGCTCATATAAAGTATTATATGAGATGCATATTACAGTTGCTTCCAAAGTGAATAGTTTCAAGAGTAGGAAAAGTGGAGTCTCTGTATAAGGAAGAACAAGCCCGGATTCCCCAATGAATTAATCATGTCACTGTTTACACAGACTAATGAGAGAAAGGGGTGAAGCTTTGATATTTTTAGGCTCCTCCTGAGCAGCATTGGCGTGCACAGCATGGGATCCTGAAATGAATAAAGATAATATTAACACATGATCAGCTGCATATGCAGATTTGAATAATTAAGTGCATAGGAAACAGAGAGACACTTTTTATTTGTTTAATTTTCTGGTAAATTATGCTGTGCTTCAAAGAGAAATGTGTTATTGCAGCAACCTTCAAATGATTGCATTTTCTTTTTATGGTAAATTGGTTATGGGAACTAATGTTTAAAAGATACTTTTCTGAAGTTTATCAGTGTTGTAGTGCCTCCTGCAATTTGTAATATTTTCATAAAACTGTGCTGCCATATATGATGATTTTACACCAACATCTGGAAAAGTTCAACTAAACCGAATCATTTTCCAGTAAATCTTTCAACATCCTCAGGCTTTATCTATAGCATCCAAATCATAAGCTCTTGGTTAACTCTCCAAGTTTTGCCGTTCATATATGTAAATGCTGCAGCAGTTGGGAAATGTTGGATTTATCTCAACTCAGTCAGTACATGAAAGCTAAATTTGCTTGTTTAATTAGTCACACTCATCTGCTCAGTGTGTATAATCCATTTTCTGAGGATAAAAATCCCTTGGCTTGTATCAGTTCTCTTCATCCTCATCTCTAAGATGCTTAGAAAAATTACAGTTAGAGCGAATGCGCTTACATGTCTGTTTGAATATTATATTGTAACAAGTCAGATAGGGAATATAACACTTTTAAACTCCCCCAGACACCATTGCTTATGCAGAATCTTTGCCCAACATATATTCAGTGCTGTCCAGTGGTGTCAAGATCAAAGACCCAATGTAGAGCCTGGCACAACTCCCAAAGCTCTGCAAATGTTCACAAAAGGAAGAGCAACATAACATCAAATGGTCTGTCTTGCTGCGTTGCTTTGGTTTATTTCAAGACATTATTTTTCCTACAAGCTTGTGGTGTGACCAGGTGGTTTTTTGAAGATCTTATGATTGAATAAGAGGGAATTTTCTGCCCATCTACATTTAGCTGTCTCAAAGCCAGTAACTCAATCTAAATTAATTGTTTGTACTGTGACACAATGCTTAAAATAAGAACAGATTTTTGGAGACTGGCATTATATTACAGTTTCCTTTTTCACTGCATTTTATCAGGTCATCATCATATTAAGGAATATTAATCTTTATATTAATAAAAAAAATCATAATCATATAAAATAATTTATTCCTGCGTTGGCAAAGCTGAGTTCTCAGCAGCCATTACTCTGGCTTCAGTGTCACATGATCCTTCAGAAATCATTTTAAAACGCTGATTTGGTGCTCAAAAACATTTCTTATTATTAACAGTTTTGACTCTAGTGCTTCTTAATATTTGTTTCTGGATTCTTTTATGAATAGAAAGTTCAAAAGAACAATATTTATTTGAGATAGAAATAAATAACATTATAAATGTCTTTACTGTCACTTCAGTCTAATAATGCATCCTTGTTAAAAAAAAGGAGGAATTCATTCCAAATAAATAAACAAATAAATCTTACTCACCCAAAAGTTTTGAATAGTAGTATATAGTGATTAATTATTGTTTAAAGGGGTCATATGATGTTGCTAAAAAGAACATTATTTTGTGTATTTGGTGGAATGAAATGTGTTTATGCGGTTTAAGGTTCAAAAAACACATTATTTTCCATTTTATTATTTTCCACATACTGTACATTATTGTTTCTCCTCTATGCCCCGCCTTTCTGAAATGCGTCGATTTTTACAAAGCTCATCGGTCTGAAAAGCGA